GGCATGTTCTAAAAATGGTAGCGCTTGACCAAACCTCCCCCAACTGATTTATTAGCAAAAACCTTTGGTGACCTTTAATGACGTCACATGAACTTATAGCTGCCCAAAAGCAAAAAAGGTCTCAAGGCTGTCAAAGTTGATCGTATATGAAGCCAATCATGGTATATTAGGCAATTCCGATGCGTTTTAGTGGAAAAATAAGGGAGCTGATTTTTTCTCAAATGACTTTTAATGGGGTGGTCAAGAAATTGACCTGACCTTAGGTCATCGATATGGAGAAATTCAAAGCGAACTGGTGCTAGGCCAAAACAAACACAATGCTGCCTGTTCAACGTCTCTTTCTCTATTCGATCAAAAGGTACAGCCAAAAAAGGAAAATTATTGTCGTGTCACGTGTGTTCAACGGGTGACCTCGGATGACCTTTCAGCAGGTCACTGATGCAAAACTGCACCAGTGTCATCAATAATAGCCTAATTTAACATGATTCAAAAGTATCTCTGAACCGGTCAGATGCGTTTCGGTGGTAGCCGATAATTCTGCCACTCACTTATAAAGGACAGGTCACACAAATGACCTGACCTGAGTTCAACGCAGGCCGAAAGCCACTTCTTTATTATCGCATATGAATGACAATTGATAAGGCTTTAATCGCCATCAGACAAAATTAAAACTTCCAGTGGGGAAAATATGAGACCTTCATATTATCTTACTATCCTGACCTGATCCTCTATGTTCTGGTTCCGCCGATCACGTGATAGAGGCGCCGACACAGCACTTTCTATTACAGTCGGTCCTCCTGAACGCACTGAAAGTGATACAGGTTCCAACATGCTCAGAAATTCCAATGTTAAAGGGACCCTCCCACCTTATCATTAGATTTGAGTTGAGATAGCCAAAATGGGGTCCCTGGCTCACAATTACCGGTTTCGGCACTCACAACATCGAGAAATGCCTTAAATCGGAAATCTTGAATTTCAAAATTGCAGCATTTTGATTCAGAGGGGCTAATGCATAGGAATACCCCTCTGAATGTGTGACGTCCGCGCAGATATCTAACGATTTTTAAATGTTTGACTAAAACGTTTTGTAGCACGCGGTGGTATATGCTGCTTTGCGCGCAACAAGTGCCGCACTTTCAGCTGCCAAACTATTGCTTCCAAATAAAGTCGCTAGGAACAGCGGAGATCCCAAAAAGTAAACAAAAGTAAAAGTCTTATATCTTGAAAACCGGTGAATATTTTTTGGGGAAATTTGGTAGATATTCGTTTTCGCTCTTTCTGAACCGAGCGACATCACTTTCATGCCAATTCATAAACTTTTTTGAAGGTGGGAGGGTCCCTTTAAAGTGTTTGCGAGCATTTTGGCGTCGATATACGGGTGAGTGTGGGATATCATCACCAGGGCCCAATCTTATAAACGTCGTGAAATGGATATGGCAGCACTCTAAGGCTGGATATATAGTACGCAATCTTATAAAGCTCTGTGAAATTGAAAACACGGCACGCTCTTTACGGTTTTGGTAACCGCCAGTTTTGGATGTGCCGTAGAATGATTTCAGCCGTGAGCAGCTGTGCACATCTCAAAACACCGACAATCATCAGCTGTTTGCGGTTTCAGCGGCGTCCATTTCACGCCAGAATTTGTGGCGTACTTTGACGAGCTTCTCAGACAATTTCATTGATTTAAGATAAATTCTACGTTTTTATGATATAGGTATGCAATATTTTACATTATGATATTTTTAAGATTAAAACCTCCTCCACATATTAACTCATGATTTATTATAATGATGCTTATTATGCAGACAACGATCAATTGCAAAATATGTATTTCCAGAAACTAAATGCACACTAAAACACCTAAAAACGAGTGTTCATCGTTATATGGCTTTATTTTTCAAATTAAAAGGGGATTTTAAGAGGATTTTAGCACCAGTAACCGTCTTAGATTTTCGGCAGCCACTGCACATTGTAGAATCGGTATGGGTCTTAAGCCTATTCTCACGTCTCACGTATGACACAAATAACGGACACTTCATGGCTTCTGATTAGATATTTAAATAAATGATATACCTTAGTTTGTCAAAAAATTGTTAATTCCTACTCACTATTCGTATCTCCTCACTTTCTGTCTGGCACAGTTAAGGATCAATGTGTTGTTTCTCTTCCTGCATCTCGATCTGACTTCTGAGCCGAGTATTTTTCTTGATGTAGCTTTGATATGTAGACTGGGTTCTTCAATCTTTTGAAGAATTGCTTTTTAGCTTTAGGTTAGGTAACAGGTACCTATGCTTGAATAAGAAGGAAAATAAGCTGTAACTTGACCTAATTCAGTTCATGTACGTAGTCTTCGAATTTTAGTAGTTTATCTTCAAGAAGGAAAATGTCAAGAGCTTATGACAAGAAGGAAAATAAGCTATATCTTGAATTGATCCAGTTAATGTACGTATCCTGATGCTCAAATTGTAGGAGCTTCATTGTCAACGGCATTACTTAAATTACTGAAACTGTAGCCGAGCTATAATTAAATGACTGTTTAAATAATTCTTTAACAAATTTATTGCAATACCTTAACAGCAAATAAATGCAAATGATAAGTAGAAGAAACACTTTATTCACTCGAATTTCTGAGCGCGAGAATGCCCTCGCTGAAATTTATTTGGTCGGCAATCCACTTTTTAGGAGAATTCTTCAAGCATGTTTGTGTTTTCCATAGTTTGCTATCACGTTTTCCATAAATAACTTATTCATTACACAGATGTGTGTCTCTAAAAGAAATAAATGCCCCATAAAAATTAAAACACATAACTTTTGCTGTTCGCAAACAGTACGCATAATTTCCAATAGCGAAGGCGACAAGACATTGACCAATCACGTTGCGTGTTTCCTGCTGGCGTTGATTTGTACTGTGGGCAAAATGGCGTGAATAGAATTACCATACTATTCTCTTTATAAGATTGCGTGAATAGGGTGCCGTAAATAGAGTGGGGTGGAATGATAGTACGCCATTTGGTAGCACAACCTTTATAAGATTGGGCCCAGGGGCGTTGGAGCGTCGTCACTTAGATATCAAGCGCCGGGCTGCGTGCGGGTCTCGGAGTCGGGCGGCGCCGACTGGCAGACGCGCCCGTCGGGAGTGGTTTTTTCTCTCAATAATGAGGTATGCCAGACCACCGGTTACAGTCCTTTCTTTTTGTATTTTTTTTTTACGTTATCCACACAGTCCCCTGTCTAAACTGTCTCGCGCGCCCAAAAATCAGTTCTGGCCAGACTTTGTTCAAGAGAAGCTGCGCCTCCCACCTGCGACTCTTCGGCAGGCTCAGCGGCACCGTGACACGATGGCCGATCGTTACAAACGTCAGTTTGACAGACGATATCACGCCCGTGAGATTTGCTATCGAGAGGGGGATCAGATCTGGGTGAAAAATGTGAAAAGGGCATCCAAAATGGATGACCCGTGGATTTTCCCATTCGTAGTGTCATCAGTGGTTGGGAGGAGACCATAGGCGTCGCCAGAGATTTTCGGTTGGGGGGCGAAATCAACTTTTGTGTTAAATCTTGCCTTTCTCCAGTCGTTACCCATTCATTCTACATGTCATTCGATGCGTAATAGCCGAGGAATACGATGGTGACAAGGTTTTCCTTCTAGCTATGACATGTCATTTTTTACAGAAAATTCAAAATTTTGAAATTTTTTGACAAAAACACGACCGGTAGAATCACAATGGCTGCGATTGCCGACGCACTCTAGAGAGCCCCCGTTCAGACGCTTGTCGCTCATGATCATCACCCAGAAAAAAGGTTAAAAACGCTCAGTAATCGAATCACCTTGCTGAAACCTTCATTCACGCATGTATAGGCGGTGTGCCACGCAGCAATCCGGCGGCTCTGCGCCGGTTGCGGAAAAATCTGTCTGCTCCGGTCATGTGACTCCCGCGGGTCGAGAGCCACCAATCGCTGCGCGCCACGATTGGCCGGCGGGTCGGCCGTCCGGGCCGCGCGGCGGCGACCCCGCCATTCGTGCACTGGTTCTGTGTGGTTCTTGTTGTGTGCGTCTGCGTGAACGGTAAGATTTGCTATTTTGTTACTATGAATTGTTGTAAACCCTCATTTGTTGTTAACTTTGCTTTGCTTAGTGGTTATTTTCATCGTTGGCTTGTATTTGTGCGTTGTTAAGTTAATTTTAATCTGTTGCAGGACGCGAGCTAATTGTGGAGCTGATTGTCGAGCTAATGGCGAGCTAATTGTCGAGCTTATGGCGAGTTAATTGTGGAGCTAGTCTGTGGAGCTCATAGCGAGTTGATAGCGGAGCTCAAGCAATGTCTGAGATTTGAGATTTTGAACTCCGCACCACAATATAAACTTAAGAAAGCATAAGCACCGTGTCGTGGATGGGAGGCAGCAATCGTGGCGCAGAGCTCGGCACCCCGGCCCTACATCTGGTGGCAGCGGTGTGCGTTCTCCTTCGCACCCACGTGGCCGAGTCTGAGCTGCGTCTTGCTGCCCCCCACTTGGGTGCTCGCTTGTTGGCACGTGGCACGTGGATCATGGAGCATCGCTTCCTGTTCGGCTGCCTGCATCCGGCTGTGGCTTGCACGGGCGCTGCTTGCGGGCCCCGCTGAGCGGCTCGCTATTCGGGCCTGTGTCGAGGCTCCGGTGCGGCACAGCTGACTGCGCCGGGCGCGCGGACGGCCTCCCCGCTGGGACCCGCGGCGAGGCTACGGACTGGACCCGGCTGCCTCGGCCGGGCGGGCGACCGGGCGTCTGGGCCCCGAGGGCCGGTCGGTGACTCCGTGCTGTGATTGGCGGACGGTCGGACGGGCGGACGGCCGGCCGTGCGGACGTGCGGACGGTTGGTGGGCGCGGCGAGCGCCTGGCGGTACCGCGTGGGGAGTGGCTCTGCGCGGCGGACCAGCTGACCAGCTGACGCGGCTGGCGGGCTGCCAACTGTCTCCGTGACCTGACGCGTGCGTACGTGGCGCACGGGTGGAGCGAGAGTTATGGACTTCATGGGGTGAGTGTTGAACTGTGTTACCTTGTATCATTGTTCCTGTATATTGTACTTTACTTTGTGCGTACGTTACTTTAATTCGTTGTGGGGTCCTCATACATTTGTGACTTTAACTGACTTCTGTGCAACGTTCGTTGTTTAGTTAGATGATTGTGAAAATTCGGGTTATTTTTTCTATCGATTTTTGATATTAGGCGCCTAGAGTTAAGATTTCACTGTGCCTCTGGGACAGAAATTACCTGCCTGAGTATTTGGTCTCTGATCTCTCGAATCCCTTGGTAATTTTACTTGCAATCGTCCCGTTCACGTTATTACCATTTAACATGGCTCATCAGACTTTGGTTACACTGGGATTACCGTCATTTGGGGGTAACACTGGTTCAGTTTCTAGGTTTATTTCTGACTTTACGACGTACGCGGCTTTTCAAAACTGGGATAACGCTAAGCAGGCTAGCCTACTCCCTTTGTGCCTTACCGGTATCGCTCGTGATGCGTATGACTGTCTCCCGGAGGCATCCAAAAAGTCGATTACTTTGGCTTTTGGTGGTCTCCGACAGGCCTTCCCTTCCCATGGCGTGATCGAGGCTCAGGTGCAGCTGAGGGGCTTGAGGTTTGACCCAAGGTCTGACCTGGATGCATTTGTCATCCGACTGAGGGGACTTGTTTGCGCTGCGTTCCCGGACAGTGAGGCTGATTGTCTGCTGTTCAACTACTTTATGCAGGCGCTACCCATGCAGTATCAGTCCCGGTTGATTTCTGACGGCATTGCGTCGTTTGACACCGCACTGGTCGCAGTCCGCAACATGTGTTGCGCGGCACGGCTGAACGTGAGTCAGCCTGCGCCGGTCCGGCAGGTCCAGTCTGAGAGCGACGTGCTCCGTCAGAGGGTCGAGGAGTTGGAGAAGGAGTTAGCTCGTCTGAAGGGAACCGGAGGTTCCAAGGCTACCGGCTGTTTCTGTTTTTGTTGTGGTGGTGAGGGCCATGTCCGTAGGAACTGTCGTAACAGGAACTCTGTCTGCTATCTCTGCGGCATCAAGGGTCACTTGGCTCGAGTCTGTGGACTTAGGGCTCCGGAAAACACGAGTGGGGCCGCCGGTTCCGCCCCACCGGGTCGGGCCCCGTACCCGCAGAGGGGGGCCAGGGGTGCTCCGGCACCAGGCAGCGCTCAGTGGCCGCCGCCGGTGCCGCTGCAGGCGGACGCAGCTCTGCATCCACCGGGGATGGGTCCCTCGATGCATCAGCCGCGGTTCGTACGGCCGAATCCGGCTCCGGACTCGACGGGTCAACCGAGGACGTCGACCGCGTCGTCCTGCTGAGGCGTGATATGACTTTCGATGGCGTGGTGGGCGGTGTTCGGTGCTCCCTGCTACTTGACACCGGTAGCAGTATTAACTTGCTCAGTAAGTCTGTCTTTGATGTTTTGCCGAGTCGTCCTCCACTGATGAAGACGTCTGCTGTGGCGAGCACAGCCGCACAGGATCCTCTGCCGCTGCTGGGGAGGGTAAAGGTGTCTCTAAAGTTGGGAGGTCAGATCACAGTTGTGCCTTTCTTTGTTTCAGAGTGTATTGATGTGCCTGTCATGTTAGGGTTAGAGTTTTTGGCTGCGTGCCCATGCGTAATTGACATGTCTGCTGGCCAACTGGTTCTGACGCCATCGCGAGCGGTTCGTTCAGTTTCAGCTTCCGTCATTTCTGTGGGACGGGTGATTCTCCAGAATGACCTGTCTGTTCCTCCGGGACATGAGTTAGTTTTCTCTGGTTTTGTCCCGAATTCAGACTACCGTGGCCCGGCTATGATGGAGCCGTGCGCTGATATTGAGGGCCTTGAGTTTGTCCCCTCAATTGTGTCTGTATCTGGTCAGTCGGTTCCGTGTGTGGTTAGAAATGTGACAACCCAGCCGGTGACGATTCCAAAGCGTTCAGAGGTCGGCCGGCTGGAGGTCGGTATCGCAGAGTGTCCGCTGTCGGGCGATCAGACCGCTGAGCGGGATTGGCGTGATCGGCTCGACCTGTCCGGTAGTGATCTTTCCGACCAACAGCGTGCCGCGCTCACTTCTCTGCTCGCTCGGTACGAGGATATGCTTGATGGTCGCCTCGGATTCACGTCTCTCGTCCAGCATCACATAGACACAGGAGACGCCCCTCCTGTCAGGTGTGCTGCTCGTCGGGTTCCCCCTTTCCTCCAGGAGAAGGTAAAGGCTGAGCTCGATCGTATGGTTGAGGCTGGTATTCTCGAGGAGAACTTTGGGAGTAGTTGGGGTTCTCCAATCTGTGTCGTTACCAAGAAGGACGGCAGTGTTCGGATCTGCGCTGACCTGCGCAAGGTCAATGCAGTGACCCGGATTCCTGCATATGGCATTCCTCGAATTGATACCATTCTTGACTCTCTTGCGGGTCATTCCATGTTTTGTGTACTCGATCTTAAGCAGTGCTATTACCAGATCGGAGTAGCGCCTGAGGACTGCGACAAGACTACCATAGTCACTCCATTTGGTTCATATAAGCACAGGCGGCTTCCACTAGGAATTAATGGCGCCCCGATGACATGCGCTCGACTTCTGGATCTAGTGCTCCGTGATGTGCCTCCAGATACTGCTGTAGCATACTTTGATGATATTTTGATAGGTGGAAAAGATTTTGATGATGTCATGAGCAAACTCGAGTTGGTTCTACAGAGGCTACGTGCCGCAGGCTTGACACTCAATCTGAGCAAATGCTCCCTGTTCCAAAGGTCTGTGAAATTCCTTGGGCACGTCATTTCTGCCGACGGTGTCGCAGTCGACCCTGAGAAGGTCGAAAAAGTCCGCAACTGGCCAGTTCCTCGAACCGCCAAGCAACTCGCTTCATTTCTTGGCATGGCCAGCTTTATGCGTAAACATGTCAGAGACTTTGCTAGCATTGCAGCCCCATTGCAGCGCCTGCTGCACAAGGACGTTCGTTTCGCGTGGACAGACGAAGCTCAGAACTCGTTCGATAGGCTACGCACAGCCCTGTGCGAGGCTCCGGTTCTCACCGTGCCGGATTTCAGTCCCAATGCTGGTGTGTTCATTCTGGAGACTGACGCGTCACAGGAGTCAGCGGGTGCTGTCCTGAAGCAGCGTGTCGGCGATGATGAGAAAGTCATTGCGTATGGCAGTCATAAGTTTTCAAAGGCGCAATCAAATTACAGCGTGACTAAACGTGAGTTACTTGCAGTGGTTTTATTTGTTGATAAATTCGCTCCGTATTTGCTTGGTCGGCAGTTTTTAATCCGGACTGATCATGCCAGCCTCCGATGGTTACTAAATTTCAAAAATCCATCTGGTATATTGGCCCGGTGGTATGAGATTCTTGGCCAATTTCAGTTCGTCATCGAGCACCGTCCAGGGTCAGAGCACGTCGTGCCTGACGCTCTCAGCCGCAGACCTCCAGATGTGGACGACAAGGCCTGTCAGACTGAAGGTCTTTCTGCCCCCGTGTTTCGGGTCAATGCTTCTGACTGGTCAGTAAGCTATATTCGCGCTGAACAGGACCAGGATCCAGACTTGTCTGAGATCAGCAGACACCTGTCTGCAGGTCGCAAACCGAAGAAGAAGGAATTGTCTGCGGCAGCAGGTCGGTTTCTGTCGCAGTGGCACCGACTACGACTTGTGAATGGGGTACTTTTTCGTCTGTACCGAAGGAGACCGTTTGACTCTGATCAGCTCCAGATTGTGTTGCCCAGAACTCTCATTTCCAGTGCCCTGGCGTCACTGCACGCTGGGCCTTCCGGTGGCCACTTCGCAGCTGACAAGCTGTTCGAACAGGCCAGACTCCGGTTCTGGTGGCCACAGATGTTCACCGAGATAGAGTCCTTTTGTAAGAAATGTCCCCAGTGTGGTTCGCGCAACGCCCCAATTCCGGCTCCGAGGGCTTCGCTTGGTGAGCTCTCAGCAACAGAACCACTCGAGGTAGTGGGTCTGGACATTCTATCATCATTGCCAGAGACTCCAAGTGGTCACAAGAATCTTCTCGTTGTAGTAGATCACTTTTCACGCTGGGTAGAAGCGTATCCGATAAAGAGTCAAGAAGCAACTGAAGTTGCTACAGTGTTCGTTCGCGAGTTTGTTTCCCGATTCGGCTGTCCACGCCGGATTCATTCAGACCGCGGTGCTAACTTCACGGGTGAAGTCTTGAAAAAGACGTGCGAGCTTCTGGGTATCGCTCAATCCAAGACTACCGCGTTCCATCCCATGTCCAATTCTATCGTAGAACGCACCAACCGAACCCTGATTAACATGTTTGCAAAATTCCTTGAACAGCATGAGCACGCTGAGTGGGATAGAAATCTCCCGTTACTTTTGCTTGGATTGCGAGCTCAAGTGCATCGATCTTTAGGTGTGTCACCCTATTGTGTCATGTTTGGAAGAGAGCCCCGGCTACCGATTCAGCTGGAGCTCGACACCCCTCTGAAGGGCCGAACCCGACCCATCACGGATTATCTTGATGAACTGCGATCAAATTTGCAGGCACTTCATCGTCTCGCGTTTGACAATGCAAGACTCAGTCATCGACGGAACAAGGCGGTTTATGATCGGAAGATAAATGACTTTAAGTTTGCCCCAGGTGACCGTGTTTATTTGCACAAGGGAGTGGTCCCAAAGGGATCATATTATAAGTTCCTCCGACCGTGGAAGCCCGCGGTTGTTATAGCCAAAGTCGGAGATATGAACTATAGGATAAGGTTAGATGGTGCCAAAGCGACACTACTTGTGCACCATAACAGGCTCAAGCCACGAGCTGGACAGGATCCGGACCAGCCGCGGAGCGGTGTCGCGACCGATCCCGCGACTGATCCTGTGCAGCCCACAGGGGGGAGGGGACGTGTGGGTGACTGGTCTCGGGAGGTGGTGGGGGAGTCTCAGTGGAATGGCCATGCTGATGAGCCAGCTGTACTCACTCGTATTGCCCCTGATCAGTCGTATGTCCCATGTATTTCGCATCCGGCACTGAATTTGAGTCCCACTGTGCCGCTCTTGACCAGCGGTGTCCCCGGTGATGAGAGAGATCAGGGACCTGACCCAGGCGCGGGTGACAGACTGAGTCCCGCTGGTAATCGTGAAGGGCAGACGGAGGGTTCGGAGACCACCGCATTAGGCGATGCGCCTCTGAGACGCTCTGCGCGGAGCAACAAAGGTGTGGCTCCTGAGCGGTTGACTTATGGGTAATTTTGTTTGGTAGCTGCCGTTGAGCCGTGAGCACTGAGCATTGTCATGTGAAAGTTCTAGCCCGTGTCTCTGTGGTGAAAATAAAGTAGAGCGGGCAATGTTGGATCGAGGGCCCCGACTCCTTCATTTGTTATGTCTCTAGTGGGTTGAATGGAGACTCGTTCGATTATTGCTGCAGATTCAGAGGGATTTAGCTGGAATTTGTGCAGTGTTATTAATGTGCTCATCGATGGTGTCAATTGTCCGGCGCGTGTGTGATTGATTTCTGAATTGTGCTGCCGCTGTTCCGGCCGGTGATAAGCGGACGTTGAGAGGGCTGTATGCTCGTTAAGGGGGAAGAGTATAGGCGGTGTGCCACGCAGCAATCCGGCGGCTCTGCGCCGGTTGCGGAAAAATCTGTCTGCTCCGGTCATGTGACTCCCGCGGGTCGAGAGCCACCAATCGCTGCGCGCCACGATTGGCCGGCGGGTCGGCCGTCCGGGCCGCGCGGCGGCGACCCCGCCATTCGTGCACTGGTTCTGTGTGGTTCTTGTTGTGTGCGTCTGCGTGAACGGTAAGATTTGCTATTTTGTTACTATGAATTGTTGTAAACCCTCATTTGTTGTTAACTTTGCTTTGCTTAGTGGTTATTTTCATCGTTGGCTTGTATTTGTGCGTTGTTAAGTTAATTTTAATCTGTTGCAGGACGCGAGCTAATTGTGGAGCTAGTCTGTGGAGCTCATAGCGAGTTGATAGCGGAGCTCAAGCAATGTCTGAGATTTGAGATTTTGAACTCCGCACCACAATATAAACTTAAGAAAGCATAAGCACCGTGTCGTGGATGGGAGGCAGCAATCGTGGCGCAGAGCTCGGCACCCCGGCCCTACACATGCATGCAGTCGCAGAGGTTCTACGACGCCTCTGGCGGCGCCGGCGCGCGGACTCGGGGTTTCCGGGAGTCGGCCGCCGGCCCGCGCTGGGCGTGGTTGTGTTCTGGTTGGCGGTGCGCCAAGTGGGCGCGCAATCGCAGACGTGGAATAAAGAACTCACATTATATCATTTTGGGGAAGCGCTGCAAATGCGAAGAAAAGATAACGGAACCCAAATTTCGCACGGCATAGCGGCAAGGGATCCCTTAGCGGCAGGCCTGGGACTTCCAGGCCATTTTAGGCCACTCAGGGTCAGTGTGGGCTCTCAGAAGCCTGCTTAGGATCCTGAAGATCGGCGTTGGTCACCCCAAATAGTTACGTGTTTGTGGTGCTTTAGGGCTTTCCGAGCCCAAGGTGGGGCCCTCAGAAGCCAGTGTGGGCGGCGGGCGCTAAGAGACCAGGCCCAGGGTGAGCCGGGAGCCCTCAGATAGCAGTGTGAACCCCGGAGGTTTGTGTCGAATCCCTAAGGACCCTACATAGAGACATAAGAATTGAAACATGTGCTGGGACCCTCAGAGGCACACGTGAGTTGTGCAAAATCTGTCGCCTTCTCGTATCGTAAGTATTCTCAAAGATCCGTGTGGCCCTTCAGAGATCTACGCATGTGTAAGGTCCTCAAAGATCCCTGTACATATGGGCATTCAGAGAATATGGACACCAGTGGGACTCTCAGAGGCCGGTTTGGGCCCTCTGAAGGCTTCTTAGAGCTCAGTGGAGCTCCTTCGGAGCCTGTGTGAAAAGCAAGCTCATGAGCCCTGTGGCACTTGAACGGTACTTGAGTCTGTCGGAGATATTTGACGAGAGTTAACCCGGCAGTTGCTGGGGTATTTCGCCACACACCGTTTGCTGGGGGGGGGGGGGGGGGGGCGTTAAACGCCCCCAGCCGATAACTCGAGAACCAATAGGCGCAGCGAAACGCACGAGGCGGCAAACGAAAGAACGCGACGAGACGCTTCAGATGAGTACTTTAAAGTTGAATTTTGAGGTCACAGGTCGGGTCAAGGTCAGGTCAAACACCTGAAATCGGGCTTTCAGTAGCATGGACTTCAGGACTTCGCAATGGGCGCCTTTCGTCATAAACACTGTCAAAACGGTGCATAATCCATCATATAAGGCCTACAAGCGTGTCAGCTCCATGTAGATGTCAGTCAAGCATAGGTCAGGGTCAAGGTCAGGTCAACCGGGTAGGCACATATCCCCGAAAATCAAAACTGATATTCGCAGCCTGTGACACATGTTTTATGGGTAATTTGGAGCGTAGAACACGATGGTGACATTCATTTTATCATATGTGTACGTTTTGGCTCAAAAAGTTCAATTTAAGAAATGCGTGTATCATGGTCGTGAAGTAGTAACGAGAAATTGCCAAGATTCAGTTCAAGATTTTGGAAAATGCGGAACAATAATCAATAATCGAAGATAGCCATTTGATTGTTCATGGTATTGGCAGTCTAATGGCGTTTACGGCATGTCTGTATGTCTATTCTGTGATTTTATATGATTTTTTGAACATATGCCGTTTTTGGTCGAAAACTCAGAAATCATGACGTCATTAAAACCTCGATATCTCAAAAATTTTCCGACCGATTTTTTTGAAACTCTCCCACAATTAACTTAAATCAATTCCCTACAGGTACCCAAAATTTGGCGCGCCTGCGGCGCGCCGTTTTTATGCTATGGCCCGGCGAAAAAAGTGGGGGCGTTTAACGCCCCCCCCCCCAGCAACTCGCGGGTTAAGAAGGCCCGAAGATTTAGTGTCACACTTTGAACGTAAATTTTGTGTCAGCACTTCAAAACTTATGAAAATCGGCTATAAAATGTAATAAAGAACCAACTAGGAACATGGAATGAATCACAGTATTGACTTTCCCGAGTCTGGAATCGGCGTCGTGAAGATTTTGGCGACTGCGACTCCGACTCTGGCCTGAATTGCACCCTTCAACCGAGTCTGACCTCACAGGCATTCTCAGAAAGGTACCCCCATTTTTCCCGACTCCAAAATCTCATCGGATCTGTATCGATCTCAGGGGGTGCCCGGTCCGAGGTTGGGGGGGCAAGCTGCCCCGCTTGCCCCCCGTGGCGACGCTAATGGAGAAGACACTTGGATTATGTAAATCGGAAGAGCCTGATATGTCGTACTCATGTGCAAAAAGGGCTCAAAAAAGGTGTTTGGTGGTCGCCGACCAAAAGTTTTATTCATATTGTGGTCGCAGCACTGGCTGCCCAGTACCAACTGCCTATGATGGCCCTTTGGTTGTCGGACACGCAATGGAACGTTTTTAAGCCAATTTACTTCTAATGCTGCTATTCCCAGCCCCGTAGCCCGTATCAAGCGCCACCAATGTACACGAATCTGCAATTACAACATGGGTTAAAAGCAGTGGTTTAATCGCTAACGCTACGTTCGGACAGCCCAGTTTCCACGTGGAGTTTTGTTGTATTGCCACCATTGCCATCTAGCAGACCCGACCGTTCCTGACAGAACCACGGAGCCTACTGGAGATTCGTCTGGATCAGGAGATCCCACCGTGGTTCCAGCCGCTGATCAGGCAGAGCCTGTACCCAGTGCGGCTGCTACAATCAGCGGCGTCACTCGCCCGGAGCCTGGACAGACAAGTGCCTCGTCCAAGCCAACGCCTCTCACCATGCCAGAACCAGACAGCAGCGCTGCTACAGATGAGCCGGTCTCTCTGCCACCTCCCTCTGTCTCTGCCAGGCAGAACAAGGACAACAAGAAGCCGGAAGGAAGCCAGCCACTGCTGCCAGCGAGTACCGAAACTGACGTGGCCCGCTCTCTCGATTTGGACCGTCTGGCACGTGCTATCGTCTCCCATATGCATCAGCGTTCTGGTCCTGGCCAACAGACCGACACAGACGACAGTGGCAATGAGGCGGGAGAGCACAGGGCGCCCGCTGACCCTAAACCGAAGGGCCAGAAGCAGCGTCTTGACCTGCCATCTCGTCCCACCGGGAGAGATCCAGTCCGCAGAAGGCGATTCTTCCGCCCTAGACAAGAGCACCAACAGCAAGGGAAGCAGTTCCAGCGCCAGGCGACCAGCAGAGAGGCGTCAGTTCATGGCTTTACGACCCAGCGTAACTCTCAGCCGCCGTATCCGTGGCAGCAACGCGTAGCCGAGGCTCCTCTTCAGCAGTCTCGGCCACCACCGGCTGGTCTTCAGCCAATGGTATGGGGTCGTCAGTCAACGGCTCCACCGCAACCTGAAGTTGGTCAGTGGCAAGGTGCATACAGGTACCAGCAGCCAGGAACCCCATGGCTGGAGCCCCAGAACAACGAGCAGTTCTCTCAGCCTCCTCCTCCTCAGATGGTGAACATCCACCTTCAGCCAAGGCCGCAGACCATGAGCCAGATGTCACAGCTCTCATCAACTCTGCAGCAGACGCAGCCAATGCTACAGCAGCTTCAGCTGCAGCAGCAAGGTACAGTGCTCCCATCGGTGCCGCCGCCTCAGTATCTGCACCGGGAGCAGCAGCACTTGCTGCAGCAGCAGCAGCAACAGCAACACTTGCTGCTGCAGCAGCAGCAGCAGCAGCAGCAACAGCTGCCACCGCTCCAACCGCAACCTCGAGATCAACAGATGCAGCAGCAACAGTGGCCACGACTGCAGCAACAGCCTCTGACACCGCTGTCCCCACCTCACCTGCAGCCTCGGGAGCAGCATCTGCAGCAGCCCCCTGCACATGCGTCTACTGGTGAACTACAACCGCTGCGTAGTCAGCACCAGGTAGCGTTGGGTCCGTTTCGGACGGAGAGCTGGCCCTGTCTGTCAGCCGGGGGATCAGGCCGGACGGAACATTTCACAACCAGCGCCCCATCATTCGGCAGCGTCCCTGTCCCAAACGGTAGTGGATCCTGGTGGGGCCAGTAACTGCCCATCTGGAGAGGCTGATACGACCTCCCTGAATGATCGCTTGTTTCGCGTCGGCTGCTATAACTGCGAGGGAGCATTAAGCGCCGCCGCTTACTGTTTGAGTACTTAGATGTATTGTTTCTCTCCGAGACATGGGTATCCTATGCCGAAGCAGACCTCCTGGGGGATGCCCTTAACTGCTACGATGTTGATAATGTACAAATATTTCAATCGTTTGCGATGGAGACACCTCCAGGCGCTGGAGAAGGGCGCCGGCGCGGCGGGACAGCCATGATATGCAGGTGTGATGACTCTTTTACGTTTGCTCAGATTGAGTGCGAGTCGTCTCGTCTTTTGGGGCTCCAAATAAGCAGCGGTGGGCTGCCAGTGCTCAATGTTATAGGCTGCTACATGCCGTACTTTAGTGGCACTTTTGAGCAGTTAGAACTGTATAGAGATACGTGCGCGAGCTTGGACTCCATGATGTGTGAAATCAGACCTGCAGCGCCAATTATGCTACTCGGATATTTTAACTGTGCTCTCCCACGACTCCCACTCGCTCAGCGTCCAGCTCAATGGGCAAGATTCCATGGCTTTAACGCATTTAGCCGCGAGTTACAGCGACTTCTGGACGCACATGACTTAGTAACGGCGGAGTTCAGATTTAGTCAGTCACTAGACTATACGTATGAGCGCGGTGGCTATTCGACACACATTGATCACATCTTAGTACCACATGACTTCATTTTTAGTCAGTTGCAGTCTTGCCACATCATTCAGCCATGTGTCGATAACTTGAGCCCACATTTACCTCTGATTTGCACACTATCCCTCACAGTAAGGCGGTGCCAGAAGGCGGCGGGGAGTGCATTTTCACCGGCTCGCACGGTGTTAAACTGGAGCTGTGATGTTCGGAACGATGAATACCGTAGACGTCTAGCTAGCCCAGCTTCTGGTTTTGCGCAATCCGGAAGACTTGGATGTCGAGCAGCTGGACAGCCACCTGACGGCATCTATTCATCGAGCTGCGTCCGAGTCCGGCTGTTCTCGCCGCTGGAAATCGCCAGAGTCTTGGTGGACTCCGGCTGTCTCTGCAGCCCGTGATCGCGCTCGGTTTTGGCACCGATTGTGGGTAGAGTCAGATCACCCACAGCTGACGGTGCTTCACAGCTGTTTTCGTGCTGCACGGCGAGATTATCGACGAGCTCGTGTCGCAGCCGCACGAGCCAAGGTGGACGACAGCGCTCGTCTGATGGCAGCGTTTCGCCGTGACGGTAACGTAAAACAGTTTTGGCGGCAGGTTGAGAGAGCGCGGAGAGGCTCAGCTACCCCTCGTGCGACACTCTCGGCTGATGATCTTGCTGACCACTTCAGCCTCACGCACAGGGACGGTGACTCTGAGGGGCTTGCAGCTGAGCACGAGACCGTTCATAAGTTAGTAGACGCATATAGGACATCTGCGCTTGAAGCACCGGGTCCCAGTAGGATCATAAGTGCCCGTGAAGTAGCGGGCCTTATAACGGAGCTAAACAGGAATGCAGCTCCCGGCCCTGACGGTGTCACCGCCGACCATCTTATCCATGGCTCTTCACCAACGCTTCTGGACATAATCGCTCTCCTCTTATCTGCCAGCCTGGCCGAGATGCGAGTACCGTACAGCTTCCGGCGAAGCACAGTGGTCCCACTTATTAAAAAAAGCAGCTTGGACCCAAACTGTCCGGATAGCTACCGACCAATTTCTTTGGTGTCCACGGTATCAAAGCTGCTCGAATTACTGCTTCTTCGAGAAATCCAACTTTCTTTCCGACCTTCAAACCTACAGTTTGGATTCCTTCAGCGCCGGGGCACCAGAGAGGCAACGCTACTCGTCCAGGAAGCGGCTGGCCACTATTTGTTGCACGAATCCCCGCTGTTTGTCGCTAATCTCGACGCTCGTAAGTGCTTTGACCGAATATGGCACGCTGGCATCCTACTTCGGGCTAAAGACTACTTATCTCGCCGAAGCTGGCTGGTTTTAGCCTTCTGGTATAGCGACCTCTCAGCACGAGTTCGGTTCGGAGGTTCTATATCGGATGCGTTTTCCGTACGACGAGGGGTGAGGCAAGGTGCGCTTCTGTCACCATGCTTGGCCAATATTTTCTTAAGGCCGCTGATACAGCAACTGGACGCTACCGGCCTTGGTGCAATGGTCTGTGGTAAGCATGTCCCAGTAGTGGCTTACGCTGATGACCTCCTAGTCATGTCGGGGAACGCACTTGACCTGCAAAAGCTATTGGATTCTGTCTCAGAATTCTCAGTTAGCTGGAGGCTCGAATTTGTTAACCCGGTCCCGAGCGCAACCAAAAGTCACTGTTTCATTTTCGGTGCTGGTCTTTTAGCCCAGCGACCTGAGTGGCACTTATGCAACCAGTTGCTCACGTGTAAGGAATACACTGAGCACCTTGGTGTTCAGCTGCACCCGAACCTTCAGGGCCGAGTGCACGTAGATGCACGCGTGTCCCGTGGACGAGGCGCCTATTTCGGTCTCTCCCGAGCGGGTTTGTTCAGCTCGCAGCTCCCTGGCCCTGACAAAGCTTTCCTTTGGCGAGCCATAGTATCCCCGACCCTGTTATTTGGTTGTGCTCTGTGCCCTCTGGGACCCGCCGACATCTCTCGTCTCGAGTCCTGGCAAGCAGCAACAGTCAAAGCTGCCTTACGTTTGCCATCCAGAGCCCACCACACAGCTTTGCTCGCTGCTCTGCACATACCGAAGGTACAGGAGACTCTACGTCGCTCCATCATCGCGTGCTTCCGTGATGCGTTCCGCGAAAATCACCGCCTACGCCAAATTCTGGTTGCCAGCCTGGCCACTCTTGTTCTTGGGGATGCCTCATCGGGACACTGCGCGCCTATCGTTAGATTTATGTTCATCGTATGTGGGGCCAATATGAGTGTGCTTCTACAGGTTGCTGGAGGTCATATCCCACCTGAGATTATGTACACCCCAAGACCCCCCTGTGGAGTCACCGACTCGCTCAGTTGGCTCCTGGCTCAGAACACTGGGGAGGCATGGGCACTAATACAAATGATATTAGCGCCACCCATATGATAGTGTTATGTTGTTTTTGGTATGCCTATGTTTTGGTGTAGGTATGATTGTGCATATGTTTTCTGGCGTATGTCTTGTGTGCATTGTGTATGTTTGTTATGCCCATGCTTGTCTTGTCTCTAGACGTAATACAATTGATGATGATGATGATGATGATGATGATGATAATGATTGACGCTCAATGCACTCAAATCAACTAACAGCACAGAGCAACCGGCATCACACCCGCGCACAACGCTCTCGCTGAGCCCACTGTCTCTTCTGCCACCACTCATCAGCAAGTGCCTGATCTTTCGGGAAAGAATGCAAAATCACACTTGTATCTCTTTCTTTCCAGTTTGTATGGTGTTTACACCCCGGCACTGCACAGCCTGGCATATCCAAGGCAGCTCGCACACCGTATTGACTGAAAAATATCAATCAATTTCTACCAGCTAGCAAAAAAAGCACAGAAATTCCACCGCTCTCGTTGCACCAACCCTCCAAAACGCACAAAACACGCCAACTGCGCCACAAAAAGCCCCAAGAATTGCTTACTTGAACGTAACGCCGTTAATAACGGCTGTTCGGCGAAATCCAGTCAGCTGACTAATCCATTTATTTCTGAAAAACGTCGTCGCATCACATGAATATATAATCAAAGATAGTGTATATCACTATAAAATACAATATAAATTAATTTGAAGTGAAAATAAACATTAATCAAAAAGAAAACTTATGAAAAAGTATTTAACAGTTACACCACATCTAGTACCTACTAGAGTCTAGCATAAACCTACCAGAAATCCATCCATATTTCACACAATAGACTAGAAGCTGGTTCCTACCAGCTACTAGATGCGCCTTCCATATGTGACGTAGGCATGGCCAATGAGCAGACTTGAGCATACCCAGTATGTAAGTACCCTGCACTGACCGCCCCTCCCGAGCCGCCAATCGCCCCGGGCCGCAGTCACCGCACCAGCTTGCGCACCAGCGCACGATCCTGACACGGGCGCGCCCAGGCCCGGCTGTTTCGGGGTGCATCGCCAACTATTTCACAAGTTTCTACGCCCCTGAGCTCCTCACGGAAACGATCGCCTGTCGGCCGTTTGGCCATTAGCGTTTCGCACTGACCGAATGCGTTTGCGTGAGGAATTCCTCGGCGTGGAAGTTCCACGCAGTGAACGGGCTGTCCGAACGCAGCCTAAATACACCATAACAAACAAGAGTGAAATTTTGCGCCCAAATCCCTATCCCTACCCCTCCCCTGGCTGACGCGACGGGCGCCACCCCTTCCCCTCGGCGTCCCTTCCCCCACGCCGGAAGTCAGGTCTCGTCGGCGATTTTGACAACCACTCTTTTTTTTATAAATTTAGTCCGAACCTTTTGCTAGGAAGGATTCACAAGGACAGAACCACCGCTAAGCGAAGCTTGTTGCGGTGACCCTGCCCTCTACCCTCCGATCGCGCAATTCCAGTCCTATGGCAGAATTTAGAGTCGAAAGTTTAACGTGCGCACATAGCCGCGCACGGCCGGTCCCCTCACTGACTTCGCCTGGCTACGGCCTGCCACCAACCGCAACCATACCTGTCAGGAGGCCCAAAAATGTCAAGCGCCCGTCGCGCTTCGAACCCGGACTGTTGTAACCGGGAACGCGTGCTCTCGCCACGCGGAGTCCAACGCTCTTACCAACTGAGCTACGGGACCGGCTCTTCCCATTGGTTTAACACGGGTGGTCGCACAGAAAACGCTGACGAGCGCCGATGGGTAAATGTGGTAGTATTCCCGTGTACGGAAGGTGGTAGTTTATCCTACAACAGTGGTATGCTTGCTCACCGTCCAGTGTCCATGTTGTACCGTGGAAGTAACCATGACCATTGGCTAAATGATGCGCATATGTGATGCTGAGGTTATGGCAATATTCTTAACAATATTTATGTAGCTTTTCAAAGATATTTACCAATTTTTAGAGGAATCGGTTCAAAAATGTGGGAGTTATTAAAAAAATTATGAAGTCACGACACACACAAATTTTGAAAATAATGACTTTTTTGGAAGTTCTAGACCTTGTACGGAAACAAAAATAGCACTATTCGATTCGCAGTGAAAAACTGCATCAGATAGGCACCTTTGTAGGCCTTAACAACCAACTTCAAAATTTGACCTCACTTGACCTGACCTTGACCTGACCTCGACCTGAAATTCATCCAGAGGTGGTCCATATCACTTATTGAGTGTGCCTATTGAATTCTATGAGTAAAATGACCCATATAACATGTGTCGCACATGCCTTTTTCTATATTTTGTTTTTGGTGACCTGACCTGACCTGACCTGACCTTGACCTTGACCTCTGAATGATATTGTATGCAACGAATATTGTCTTGGTAGCCTAAGAACACGTTTTGGGCAATCAGTCTCAGTCCATGACTCCATTCTTCGGCAACTACGGTGCAAGGCCGATACTGTAGAAACTTGCAATTTGTACCCTTGACCTGACCTTGACCTTGACCTCAAACTTTGAATTAAGTACATGTTTTTAGTTGTTCGTGATGAGATCTTTCGATTGGCGTTTGAATTTTCCAAATCGGACCATTAGTGCGGGAGATAACAGGGGGGTAAAATTTACACACACCCCCAGCCCCGCGCGTTCGGCTGGAGACCCCAGCCCCGCGCGGGTTAATATAGGCTCTTCTCCGGTGTGAGGACTTGACCGTGACATGGTGGCAGCGTGTTGTTGATTGCTGCCATGGCCGGAGACTATGTCAAACGCGTAGTGACTGATGGGTCGGCCACGGCCCCGCCGTCGATCCGAGTGTCTTTGTCGAATTTTCCGATGT